CCAGAGTGGCCCCCAAGACAGTTTCCGACGGCGTCAGACGGGCTAGGAGCCCACCAAGATGGCTAAAGAGGCCCCTGAGAAGCCCCCGACGGCCCCAAGAGGCCTCCAAGAGGGCCCCCAAGATGCCTCCAAGAGGCTCCCAGGAAGCTCCCAGGAAGCTCCCAGGAGGCTCCAAAAGTGTCCCCAGAGGCTCCCAAGATGCCCCCTCTTCCTCCTCCTCCTCCTCCTCCTCCTCCTTCTCCTCCGCCTCCACCTCCTCCTCCTCCACCTCCTCCTCCGCCTCCTCCTGATCTTCCCCGCCACCTTCCCCCACGTGATCCCCGAAGGGTTTCCACAACGGCTGGGGGAACACATGGTGCGATAGCTTGGAAGAGCTTTTACCACAACGCTCGGCCACATGGGCGATTCTCGAAGGCACGGGGCTGCGGTGATTCGCCGTAGGCGTCTTCGATACCTAACCGAGGAACCGATTAGTACGGCGACGGTCAGAAAATCAATATCTGTCTCTCTATTGTTTCCTCTCTCTCTCTGTCTCTCTCTCTCTCTCTCCCTCTCTCTCTTCCTCTCATTAATTGATATACATGTTATAGGTTTACACATACACATTATATATGTGCGTGTTCATGTAGCTTTGTATATGTACACATGTCGGCATGTATGTATATACATATGTGTATATCTAGATGCACCACCATACACCATACATACCCGGATACATACACCAGAAGGGGTGCGCAGGTGCGCTGGAACATGGCAATAGGCGCGCTGGGGGTGCGCGCTCTCTGTCCGCTCCACGCTCCACGCTCCCGGGGTGCGCAGGAAGTACGGTGTCTGTGCGTCCAACCGTTCATGGCGTGGCAAGGGTGGCACTTCATGGCCACCAGATGGGGTGCGCATGGGTCCCACTGTCTAGGAAGTGGAAGGAAGAGCACTTCCTCGCTACCAGAGGCGGTGCGTCTCTATGCGTACCACCGTCCAGGGCGCAAGCAAAACGTTAAGCACGTCTTATTATTCGAAGGCGATTGCTTATATGTGGAAATAAATCCCCGAAGGCGAACGCCCATGCTTTTGGCAGTTTGGGGCACTAGGGCTTCGGTTTACGTGCAGACACAGACAGCCACCACAGGTGGTCCGACCTGGCCCCGACAGGCCCCCCGAGTAGTCCCAGCTGGCCTCAACAGGCCCGCTGGGACTACTCGGGGGGCCTGCTGAGGCCAGCCGGGGGGCGCTGTCTGTGCGCAGCCCGAAGCCTTACCATGGGGCGCCCCGACTGGCGAGGAGGGGCGATCGGGGGTTCACGCTTCCCCGCCTGGGCCCATCCCCCCAACTTCCGGGTCAGGTCTCGACTCTCCGGCGGCCGTTCGGGACGATACTCGGGGCCCCCAGGAGCGCTGCCTGCGAGGCGCAGCTGCTTGAAAGCATCCCGAGGCCGCAAACCCGCCGAGAAGTGGCGACAACGCCCGAAAACCTCGCACCCCGAACCGGAATCGCTCCCCCTGACGTTGCCCCCGATCTGCTCGGGTGCACGGGGGGCTCGGAGCAGGTCCGCGTCAAGTCGGGATTCGTCCCTCGGCACCACGTCCTGCTCGTCCTCCGTCGCCCTCCCTCATCCCTCCTGCTCCGCCCCCTCGCACCTCCTTCCCCCTCCTAGTACCCCTCCTCCTCCGCCCCTCGCCCCCAATTGGGGAAACCAGAAAGTACCGATACCGCTGCTCCTGGGACCTCTCCCGGGGTGTGTTCCGACCAGAATTTCGAGGAGAATCCAGCCGGGGCGACGAGGGCCTCGCAGGAGGCCTGTGAGAACGAGAGAGGTGCAGCGGCATGGGTACGTACCCTTTCCTCCTCTACCTCATACCCCTCATCCACCTCCTTAAGACTAAGCCAGGACGAGAGCAATTTCGTGAGGATGAATCGAGAACCTCTGAGATCTGACGGCTCTGGAGAATGCATCGGGCGCCGCGGCCTTCTCAAAGCGTTCCGGAACGGTTTCATCCTCGTCCCAGCCCCGTCCGACTTCATGTGGGGGCGATCAACGGGGGTGGGGCCGAGAAAGTTGCACCCGCCGACGGGGGAGGCGGAGGTGGAGGAGGAGGAGGAGGAGCGGGAGGAGGAGGGAGGAGGACGGAGGGAGGATGAGGAAGGAGGAAGGAGGACGAGGAGGTAGGAGGAGGAGGAGGAGGAGGGAGGGGGACGGGGAGGAGGAGGAGGAGGAGGAGGAGGAGGAGGAGGAGGAGGAGGAGGAGGAGGAGGAGGAGGGAGGAGCCCCGTCCGACTCCTCCTCGTGCCTTCACCTCCCTCCCCGCCCCCTGCTCGTCGGCGGCACGTGCCGCCCCACGCTGCACCCTCGTCGGCGCCCATGCCCTGCGTGGCCCTAGGCTGGTAGGCAACGACGGGGGGAGGAGGGGTCGCCTGAGCCCTTCGGAGAAACCCTCCAGGGATGGGCACAGGGGGCGATGAGGCATCGACCTAGAATCGGCGATACATCCCCGATAGATCGGCGATAGTGAACGCATGAAGACCGCCCTCCGCCCCCACATGAGGAACTTTAGACCAACTAGACCGCGCGCGCGGGCCCTCCCCCCTGCGGCAGCTGGCAGTGGCCTCGCTTAATTACAGGGCGCCTGCACCTACGCATATTCGCCATACTTGCAAAACGTTGACATGTAAAATTAATTTTTGTGGGAGCTGGGGTCGGTTTCCCACTGTTCAGATAAGCTCCCGATAGTGAATCCGCACGTTCCTGGGCGCGTTGAGGCTATCAGGCTGCTCTTGGTCGGCGATCACTGGGCGATTGGTGGTCGATGCATCCCCCCTATGCCTATCCCCCCCTATCTAGAAGAAGCAAAAACGCCACAAACGTAAACTGTTGGCGCTCCGCGCGGATTTCTTGGATCCGCGCTAGACCCCCCTCCCTGGCGCGCGGAGCGCGCCAGGGGAGGCGCCGGAGGCGCCGCCATGGGGGGCCCAGAAGCGGATCCAAGAAATCCGCGCGGAGCGCCAAAAATAGCGGCGCCGGAGGCGCCGCCAGGGGGGGCCCAGAAGCGGATCCAAGAAATCCGCGCGGAGCGCCAAAAATACATGCTTATGGCGTTTTTCGACCTATGCCTATCCCCCCAAGAATGACATAAACGAAAAACTCAGAGGTCCGCGCGGATTTCGCGGACTGGCGCTGGACCCCCCTGGCGGCGCCTCAGGCGCCGACCCGAGAAATCCGCGCGGACCTCCGAATTTTGATGCTCATGTCATTCTTCGTTCCCCTGTGATGAGCCGCCCCCGCCCTCCCGGCCGGTGTGGGCAGCCTCTTTTGAGAGTCCCGGCGCCCCTCCTCGGCAGGCCCATGCCAGGCGGCGGGGCGGCCGGCCGCCCCGCGGAGCCGCGCCCGAAACACACGGGCGGCCCCGGGCCCGACGTGCCCACTGCGCTGCTCCGATACAGTGGAGGCCAGTCCACAAGAATGAGGAAACAAAGAATGACAGAAGCATAAAAACTCGGAGGTCCGCGCGGATTTCTCGGATCGGCGCTGGACCCCCCTCCCTGGCGCGCCTCCGGCGCCAGGGGCGGCGCTGGAGGCGCCGCCAGGAGGTTCCAGCGCGGATCCGAGGAATCCGCGCGGATCTCTGAGTGTTTGTTTATGCCACTTTTCGCTCCCCTGAAGAAGCCTTCCGCAAGAAACCCAGCCCCGAGACCCCAGGACGTCCACTGGTTTTTGTTGTGGGCACGTCGCGCTTTCCAGAGCAAGACTATCGAGACCCAAGAAACTCAGAGCACCCTGGAGACAAGCAGGGTGTTTCTTGGCATGGGCCTCCACTGTATGAGACGAAGCCAGGACGAGAATAACATCGGGTGAGGGTAAATCGAGAATCTCTGAGAGCCGGCGGCTCTGGAAGATGCCTCAGGCGCCGCGGCCTCCTCAGAGCGTTCCGGAACGCTCTGAGAGCGTCCCGGAACGCTCTGGAACGGATACATCCCTGTGTTAGGCCCGTCCTATCAGCGGCGCGAGCGACGAGAGCGCGAGCCCTGAGATCTTGGCGTGAGGGCAACGAGACAGGGGGGGTTCTAGCACAAGGGGGAGCATCGACCTGTAATCGGCACATCGCCGATAGATCGGCGACGGGCTCACGATAGCGAAGCTGGGTGTGCCTACGCGGGGTGGGACTATAAAACCCCTATCGGCAATCGCGATCAGTGGGCGATTGGGGGTCGATGCATCCCCCCCTATGCCTATCCCCCCCTACTGTTGCTCCGGATAGAGTCTCAATTTATTCGAGCAGCGCAAGTTCGCCCGTTTCGGGCCCCTGTAACCTCGCAGATCGATCTGGCTCGGAAAGTAAACGAAAAACGGGGTCCAGGGCTCCAGCCGTGATTTTGCACGACGTTGCATGTGTTCGCCGCGTCGGATCTCAGGGGAGAAGGCGCGAGCGGGGCGGCGTTCCGAAGAGGCCGCGGGCTTCGCAGACGAGGGCGGCTGGGCTTCTCAGAGGCCCTTCTGGCCTCCAGGAGGCCTTCTCAAAGGAACCCGGCCCTTCCAAGAAGGCCCCCGCCTTCCTGGACAGCCCTCCGCGGAGCAGGCCTTCTCAGAAAGCGGCGGGGCTTCTCAGAAGCCCTGCTGCCTTCTGACGAGTTTTCCGCGTCTTCAGGAAAGGCTCAGCAAGCTTCTCAAAGGCCCAAGAGCTTCCGAGCCTTCTGAGAAGGCCCGCCCCCTCTCACCTCCCCCCCAGGCTCGCCACTCACTCTCAGAGGGCTGCACCGCGCGCACCCCTCGCTCTTCGAGCAGGGGACTGACTACAGAATTGATTTGCCCCAACATTGGTTTTCCCGTCGAACCTACGGAAAATAAACAACTAGAATGCTCAGTCGATCGATTGAGCATTCTGAATATTTCTCGTGAGTTCGACGACAAAGCCAAGTTTGAGGTAAATCAATGTTGTAGTCGATCCCCTACTCGACCTCTGCGCGCGCCGCCAGCATGTGCTCATGGGGCCCTTCTGGGCGGCGCTGCTCTACCTGACGATCTTGGTGGCAAGCCTGGTGAGCACCTTCATGTCCACCCTGCTGCTGGGCAAGCCGCGCAGCTCCTCACGCGAGCCGCAGAAGCCGAGAAAGGGCGTGCGCAAGACGAAGTCAGGACGAGGATAATATCGGGTGAGGATAAATCGAGACTCTCTAAGATCCCGCGGCTCTGGAGGATGCCTCGGGCGCCGCGGCCTCCTCAGAGCGTTATCTCCGCGCCCCGGGAGGAGGCGCGGCATCACCAGGCTTGGGCGGAGCGAGCCGCCTCGCGCGACCTACTACACGCTTTGCGGGGCCGGCTCACGCCTCGCCTGGCGCGCCGCCTGGAAGAGGCGGTCTGCCGGCTCGACTCGCACCACGGCTCCGCGGCGCCGACCACGGCGACGGACCTCGCGAAGTGGGTGTGCAACAAGTGCTTCAACAGCCGTGGCCAGCCCTTCTTCAACATGGCCTCAGACAAGGCGTGCAAGAAGTGTGGTCGTCATAAGAAGCAGGCATACCTTCGTGACTTTCAGGAGAGCAGTGCGCCTTCGTCCTCTGTGCGGCAGGTGACGCAGCTCGAAGAGAAGGACGCCGAGTTGGCCAAGCTGCGCCAGGAGGTCCGGCAGCTCAAGGCCGAGAAGGGGGGGAGTGGAGGTGGGACAGGATGAGCCGACTAAGGCTGCTTTGCAGGACGACCTCGCCATCCTCAATCACGACCTCGAGATTATCAAGCAGCTCAAGATGCCGAAAGGGGAGGAGCTGATGGCCGCCAAAGAGGCGGAGATCAAAGCCCACCAGCAGCGGATCCTGGTCGACAAGCCCTCGGCGACCCAGATCCACACGTTGCAGGACGCGATCGCCAAGAAGACGAGGGGCGTTGAGCAACGCACGACGAAGTGCGAGACGGCCCGGGCGAGCATCAAGGAGTGGGAGAAGGAGAACCAGAAGGACGAGCAGCAGATCAAGGAGATGCAGGCGCAATTGCGGATCGTCTCGAAGGGGCTGGAGGCAGAGGCCGGGTAGGCGGCCTGCAACGTCCCGACGAAGAACGCTGCGGAGGCCACGCGACAGCTCGAGGTCGCCATGGCTTCCCTCGAGAGGATGGGCGAGCGGCTCGGGCTGCCGAGCTCACCGGGCAGCACGTGGGCCCCATCCGCCAGCAGCTGGTGCCCAAGGTCGTGGCCCAGGCAACGACCGACGCGCAGGCGCAGCAGGCACCGGCAGCGCCCTCAGCAGCGGTGGGCGCTCCGCCTCCTGCTCCTGCTGCTGCTTTTGTTCCTGGACCTGCGGCTGGGCAGCGAGCTGCTCAAGCCGTCCCCCCATCCGAGGCCGATTCCGTCTTCGTGGACTGGGAAGCGCTGCCTCCGGACGAGCGCGAATGCTACATCCAGGCGGCGATGGACGAGGACGAAGGAGGAGGAGAGGCTGAGGAGGGCGAAGCCAAGAAGGCCAGACTGGACACAGCGGGCCAGGAGCTCTACAAGCAGTTCAAGAAGGTGCAGGGCAGGATTGAGACGCACAAGGGTCGGCAACGTCTTTAGTGCCGATTCCCTGGTTCAACCGACCTTATGCAGCTGTACCCCATGGAGTTCTGCCTCTTCAAGATGGTTCTGCCAGCATGGGAGCTGGCATGGGGACGTGAGCGAACCTGGGCTGAGAGACTGGGCGGGCGCGGCGGCGGCTAGCAATCGCACAGCCGCTGCACAGGGCAGGGGTGGTGGCAGCGCGGGGGCCTCGCCGAGGGGGCCGCCGCCGCCGCAAGAGGAGTGTGTTGACTTGGTCCTTCCAGGGGGGCAACACCAACAGCTGGAATTCCTTCACGCTGGTGGCGGACTGGCTGGCGGACGAGGCGAAGGTGGGCAAGCCGGAGTCGTTCGGGCTGACATCAAAGCCGAGACGAGGGCTACCTCGGCTGAGACGTGGTCCCGCGATCGGCAGATGCAGCTGACCTTAGGCATGGCTAGCTCGACGGGTCCAGGGGCCACCGATTATACATCGGGAGTGGGGGTCCTGGTCCACGAGGTCATTCCCTCCCGATCCCTGCGTCCAGTTGCCCTCGGCGACTGGGCAAGCAGGATCGCGGTGCGGCACCTCCACACAGGCTTCCCTCAAGGTATCTTGGCGGTCTCGGTCTACGGGGTGACTGCAATTGGACCAGCTGGCGAGAACCTGGACTTGCTGCAAATTTTGGGCACGTTCTTGCAAAGCAGAAGCAAGCCGTGGATCCTCCAGGATGATTGGAACGTGACCCCGGGGGAGCTGGAGGCGGTGGGTTGGGTGAAGAGTGGGTGGTGCCATAGTTGCACCTCCGTCTACCACGTGCTTGCCGACTGCTGGACAACCCTCGCCGGAACCCGACTCGGTTGGAGAGGCAGGGGCCGCTGTGGCAGGAGCGGCCGGTCACCAGGGCCCTGCTGGCATGTCGCCCGAGACGGCTGCCGACCCGTCCAATGGGAGGCTCTGGGACTATTTCATCGTGGCCAAGGTCCTGGCGGCGTGCGTCTCGCAAATGGCCGTGCTCGACGAGGCGCCGTGCAGCCCACACAGCCCCATTTTGCTGCGGATGACCAGCCTGCGGAGCATACGGGAGGTGGAGCGCCCCGTTCGGTTCAAGCGCTTCAGCGTCGAGGTTCCCATCGGCCCGCAGCGTGAGCTTACGCCAGCCTGTTGGGCCACGCCCGCAACAGATCACCCTGGTGAGGACGTGGAGAGGCTGGTGAAGGATTGGTTCGATCGGGCCGAATCGCTTTTGGCCGACCTCCAGGGCATCGGCGAGCTCGATCGTCGAACGTACGTCGGCCGCTCCAGGGGCCCACGCACTGTGAAAGTCCCATGATGTGTGGCATGGGAGCGCGAGCTCAGGAGGAGGGCTTCACCGTCCACTTGCACGTGGATAGCCTTCCAGGCGCTATGCAGGTGGGCGAGCACCATCGCATCTTCTTATCCTGGGAGACCCGGGCGAACGCGGCTCGGAACTTGGAAGGCGAAGCTCTGGGACATGGTGGGGGACATGCAGGAAAGGGAGGGGGGTGAGTACACCAGCAGGACGTTGCACAGCATACTCCACCAGGTGACCACCGTCGGGGGCGTCGTCAACAATTGGTGGTGCGCACAAGGGGGTGGAGGGAGGGGGCAGGGCTTCTAAGAAGCAGGGGTGCTTCTAAGAAGACCTCCTCCCTCCCCCCACCCCCCTCTGCGCGTGACTGAACTCAGGAGGACTTGGTGGACGAGGCGACGGAGTATGTCCTCCCAGTGAACGGCCAGGAGGCTATCCAGAAATTAGTGGCAGACTGGGTGCCACTATGGTGCGCGAGCAGCCGCGAGGCCGACGCGCACCCCGCGGAGAGGGCTTGCGCAAGGCTTGCAAGTCTTATTCGGAGGCTGTCGGACTACGCTGGGATAGCTTCCATTCCAAGTGGATCTTGCAGCTCCACGAGGAGTTCCAAGTCCGCTTCCTGTGGCTGCTGGGCCTGTTCGGTCGCAAGCCGAAGGAACTCCGCGATTGCACCGCCGACATGATGTTCTTGGCGAAGCCGGACGGGGGTGTGAGGCCCATCGGATTGCTCGCGCTCTTCCCCAAGTTGTGGTCCAAGATGCGCCAGGAGTGCAAGGCATGGGAGCTTCGCAACGATCACCCCTGCTTCTGGGGAGGCTCTGTCAAGACCTCTTGGGATAGGGCGGGGTGGTTGCATAACGTGTTGGCTGGCTTCGGGCGAGCGGCAGGCATATCATGTGCGAGAGCCGTGCTGGACCTGAGGAAGTTCTACAAACATATTCACCTACGCTTCCTGTACGAGGCCGCCGTCTGGTTCGGCTTCCCGCTGATGCTGCTCCGAGGGCTCTGCGTGCTCTACGCGGGGGATCGCGCCCTCATCTTCGGCGGCGCGATCTCGAGCATCTACCAAGCGAACGGGGTCGTCATTGCAGGCTGCTGTGCGGCAACATCATTGGCCAAGCTTTTATTATTAGCGCCATTGGTTGCCGATCCTCGTCCACAACTTTACGTGCGCAACAGAATGGACGACATCAAGCTCCAGGCGGTGGGTTCCGTCAACCTCGTGGCTGATCAGGGCGGCGTTGGCACCGAGACGCTGCTCGTGGAGAGGGCGCGGCTGGAACTACGGATTTCGCTGAAGAGGTGCGTTTACCTCGCGTCAAGCACGCAGGTGGCAGACGCCCTCCAGCAGCGCTAGTCTCTGCCCGCCACGGCGAAACTCAACAGCACGCGTGCATTGGGCACCGATGCGACAGTGGGGAAGGTCGGGAGGGCTGCCACCGCCAGGAGCAGGGAGCCGGGGGCTCGCTGCCGCGCCGCGCGGACGCAGATGCTCCGGGATGCAGGGGCCAAGATCTGGCAATTACAGCGGGCTGGAGGGACGGCCGCCGCCACGTGGGGCCGTGTGCGGGTCCGCAGTCCAAGGCGTCGCCAGTGGAGTGCTCAACGGGCTGCGGGTGGCCGCGGCGCAGAGCTTTGGCCGACTGCCGAAGGGGGCGTCGATCGGCTTGCGGCTGCACTGCTTCAAGAAGGGCGTCGACTACGACCCGTTCGTGCTCACGGCAGCGCAGGTGGTCTGGATGTGGAGCTCGGCGGTATGGGAGGCGACCCCGAAGCCTCGCGTCCTCGAGGTCGTCATGCGAGACGCTCTTACAAAGTGCACCCCACCGTCGGCTAATTACTTGGAGGCTGGTCACACCCCCTGCGGACGTCGCGGTCATGACCCTGAAGAGGATCGGTTGGGCCTTCGACAGCAGCACGGTGCTTCGTGATGTTGGCGACGGCGGCATCGTCTACGACATGCAGCAACTGCCGCCCAACCAATTGTAGCGCCTAGCAGCCCGGGTCTCCGCCAGAGCGTCCGACATTCAGGCGCTGGATAACACGCGCGGCGGTTGGAGGAAGGGCGATGGCACCCCAGACTCGCTGGACGGCGCGCCTTCGGCATTCGTTTTCTGGCAGACGCGTTGAAAATCATTGGGGAAGCTCTCGGAGGTGTGGGCCGTGCGGCACGTCCGAGCACTGCAGTGAGCCACACATTGTGGGGGCCAGCGCGGCTCGCTGCTCATGGACTGGTGGCTTCTGATGTTTGTCAGGCGTGCGGGGCCACGGAGAGCACGCTGTGGCAGTGCCGATTCGAATGCCCCGCCTACGAGCCCGTTCGCCGACAACACCCATCGCCGGAGACCAGGCGACGCGCCCAGGCAGTACGCACATGGAGCTGGACAGCAGGAGAGCGGCTGGCCAGAGGCATCCTGCCAGAAACAAGCCCTCTCTTCGTCTTCCCAGACGTGCCGTTCGAGATGCATTGGATAAACCGCCCCAGCGGCGGCCTCCCCAGAGGGCGCATCTTCAGCGATGGCTCAGCCCTCTTCCCAGCCATCCCGTGTCTTCCCAGAGCGGTGTGGGCGCTGGTCCAGGTGGACAGGCTGGGCAAGTTGGTATCGGCGGTCTACGGAGCCGTCCCGCGCAGCGAGGCGCCATTCCAGGCAGCCCGTGATGGGGAGGATTTTGCCGTCGACGTGGTGCTCCCTCGGGTCGCCATCGCCCCCATCGAGTTGTACGTGGATTTCAGGGGCACCATCGGCGTTGTGAGCGGCGGCGCTGGGACTGGCACCAGGACGACAGATGACCGACCACATTGGTGGGGCAAATTCTGACGGGCGTTTATGGCTTGTGATGGTACCATCCGCAAGGCCCACGCCCACGCGACGCAGGCAGTCGTGGACGGCGGCAGGACGACCGCCATGGAGAGGCGCGCGAATGCCAAGGCCGACGAGCTGGCGAAGGCGGGGGCTGCCTTGCATGGCGTCACTGGCGCGGCTGCCCATCTGTGGGCTGGTCTGGAGGACATCGCGGTGGAGATGGGCCGGTGGGTGGGGCAGCTGCACAGCCATGTCGATGACAACGTGCCTCCAGACCGAGAGGACGTTCTGGGCAGGCGTACCGGCAAGGAGGACGCCGCGCAGGAGCATCAAGGAGCCGAGGGTAGTGCCGTGAGTCTGAGTGCTAGCGCTGCTGACCCGCCCCGTCAGCCTCCTCCTCCTCCTCTTCCAGAGTTGTTCATTGAGTGGGCCACAGCGTGGCGCGACTACGAGCCAGTCGCGGTTCGGGTGCTGGGCCATGCGCTGCTGAGCGCTGTAATCCAGGGGAAAACTGGGATGCGGCTGATTTTTGCTACCATTGCGGGGCCTACTTCGGGGACAAGTCCCCGGTGGAGTGCATGCGTTCTTTCTGCAAGGGCACGAGGGGCGGCCCGAAGCTCAAAGAGCAGTTGTCCAAACTTTTGAAGGAGACCATCCCCACTACCGCAAGGCAACGCGGGGCCTGAAGCTTGCGCCACCCGAGGGCGTCCCTTGGGATGACCGCCAGCGGCTGCACGCAATTTCCTCGCATTGGGCCAGCCCTTCGTTGGCTACGCCCGCCTGGTCACGTGCCGGAGGAGGGAGCGCGGCTGCCCCAGAGATGTCGCCGCGGCAGGCCGTGCTCTGTGCGTTCGGCCTCGCTGAATCCGACCTCCCGGGGGTGCGGGTTTGCGGCCAGAGGGTGGCAGCTCGGGCGGCTGCAGACCGCGGCTCGGGCTCCCCATCGACGAGCGATGTGGAGGATGAGGATTGACGGTTTCTTCTATTGGTTTCCACTGCCTTCCGAGGCCAATCCCAGCCAAATACTTCTCGTCCTCCATCCTCCCTCCTCCTCCGTCCCTCGTCTCCTCCCTCATCCTCACTCGTTCACTCGTCCCCCTCCTCCTCCTCCTCCTCCTCCTCCTCCTCCTCCTCCTCCTCCTCCTCCTCCTCCTCCTCCTCCTCCTCCTCCTCCATCCTCCCCCATCCGTCATCCGTCCTCCTCATCTCCACCCTCCCCTTCCTCCATCCCCCTCCGTCCTCAGCCCTCTCTCTCCTTCCTCCTCCTCCCCTCCTCCTCCTCCTCCTCCTCCTCCTCCTCCTCCTCCTCCTCTCCTCCTCCTCCTCCTCCTCCTCCTCCTCCTCCTCCTCTCCTCCCCCTCCTCCTCCTCCTCCTCCTCCTCGCTCGAGGCCCGTCGATGCTCACTCGCCCAGCCCGGGGGGGGGCTCTCCCGGAGCAGCTCCAGGGCCACATCCTCCTGCTGGCCCCGCAGCCCCGCGAAGGCCTCGGACAGCAGCTCGAAGGGCAGGCCGCCGCGCACCTCCCGCGTCGGGCCGGCGCGAGGGCCAGACGCCGCGATGGCCGGCGCCAGCCGGCACGGCGCGGCGCAGCGACGTCGATCGAGCCTCGATCGACGTCGCTGCGTCGCGCCTCGATCGATGGAGCCTCGCAGGACCTCGATCCTCGATCCCTCTTCGACGCCTCGATCATCGAGGCGTCGAAGAGGGATCGAATCGAGGATCGAGGTGGCGCCATCCAGCACGGATCGAGGACCTGGCGGGGTCGACGAGGACCGACCTGCTATGGTTGGCGCCAGCCGGCACGGCGTGACGCAGCGACGTCGATCGAGGCGTTGAGGAGGGATTGAGGATAGAGGTCCTGCGATCAGGAGGAGGCGGATGATGATAAGGAGCAGGAGGAGGAGGAGGAGGAGGAGGAGGAGGAGGAGGAGGAGGAGCGGCGTGCGGGAAATCCGCGCCCATGAAGGGCTGCCGAAGAAAGAAACGCTGATCTTCTGATTGCTCAGTCTCCAGATCTCGCAGAAGACGGGCATGCAGGACCAGACTGAACAGCTTGCAAAGGATTGGCAGAATCGATATCGGTCTGTGATTGGAAGGAATATTCGGGTCTCCCCTTTGAACCAAAACCTAAATCAGGAGAGGTCCAGCGATCGGGGAGGTGGAGGTCCTGTGATCAGGAGAGACTAAGTCCAGACAAACCAACCCAAACGGAGACCGAACCCTGCATGTGGACTTATTTCGTATGGGCTCAACATCCGCCGATGCGCGTATACCGCAAGGCGGGTGCACAGCTGCGGGCCTGCGAACCGCAGCCCCAGACCAAAGCCATAATAGAAGTCGCGTCCCCGAGTCACAAACTGTCGTAAATTACTTCAGATTCGCGTCCCTGGGGACATCAACCCTCATACATTAAACAATACGTGTGCCCCCCGAGGCCATAAGCTTTCTTAAACTATGCAACATTTGCGTCTCCGAGGTAATCAATCGTTTGCAAATTCTGAAATCTTCCCGTCCTCGAGGCCATAAACCTTTCTGTAAGTTATGCAATGCTTGCTTCCCCGAGGCCATCAACCCTCGTAAATTAGGCGATGCTCGCGTCCCCGAAACTTTTAATCCTGTTGGAGTAATCAAAATCCGAGTCCGAGGCCATCAATCTTTGTAAATTACATCAAATTCGCGTCCCCGAGGCCACTAACCGTCGTAACTTATACAGTACTTGCGCCCCCAAGGCCATTAGCCCTTTCTCACTTCCACAAGACTCGCGCCCCCGAGGCCAGGATTCCCTTTAAATTTCGGCGCACTCGCGCCCCCGAGGCCTCGGTCCCTTCCAACAGACGCCGAGGAGCCTGAAAACCGCCCCAGCCGTGCGATGTTGCCCACTCTAGCCTCAAGCAGCCCCCAGTCTTTCCAAGAGGGCCTCCAATGCACAGCATGCGCGGCCAAGTCCAAAATGCAACACCGAATTCAACAATATCATCTGAATCTACTTCTTTCTTGCCAATGACTTATCGTCCTCGCATGAGGTTCTGACACTGGCTCAAGACGGAAACCAGACCTCACGACGTGCATGATCCATTATCCGAGAGGGGGCCGGCAGCAGGGGGCGAAGCCCTTACGGATAATTTCGAACATCCGAGAAGTATCGAAACAGTGTCTGACCGACACGCTGGCGAAGTGCCGAACGAGTATCGCCTCCCAGGATCCGACAGGTGACACCAGTTCAGTTTGGATACTTTCTTGGTGCTCGAATTTCTTTCTGGTGGTTCAGGCTAGAGCAAGTTGGAACATCACAACGCGATTGTAAAGAGCTGGAAATCCGTACCCAGAATAAGCAACCCGACAAGCGAAGCGATTTCGTAAAAGCACAAAACAACATCGAACAGGGCAACGCTGCTTGGTAAACGCCCTAGGCCGTTTAGGGAACGCAGATTATCGGGGTCGGGGCGGTTTTTCCTCCCTTGATATCAGGGTGCTCCTCTGGGAAAATCGAGGCGAACCCGGCCGTGGCGATGCGAGCTGCCCAGGACGACCAAAGGCATCGGTACCTTTTCTCATCCAGGAGACGGCGACGATGACGACGACGACAGCCCCTGGATCTGACATCTCGAAAAACTTGAGACGTCGTGAAAGAAACGTCACGACTGGAGCACCGGACCCCGTCTTTCTCAGCCATTTCTCGAGCAATATCCATCTGTGAGGGCCCTGTGGCCCGGAACCTGTGAGGGCCCTGGGGCCCGAAACTGGGCGAAAACGTCTGGCTCGAAAGATTGAGCCGCCAGGATCTCAAAGTTTCGCGAGCGGCTCTTTGCCAGGGGCTGGGCGAGGGGGGTGCGGAACTCTGAGCAGCGCCTAGGGGGCTTCTGGAAGGAGGAGGAGGAGAAAAAGGAGATGGGGAGGGAAGAGAAAGAGGAGGAGAAGGAGGGGAGGAGGAGGAGGAGGAGGAGGAGGAGGAGGAGGAGGAGAAGCAGGAGGAGGAGGAGAAAGAAGATGCCACTTGGCGAAAACGTCCGGCTCGAAAAGATTGCGTCGCCAGGATCTACAGGAGCAGGCGGCGTGTTCGATCCCCGACGCCGACGACGGCGTGGCCGCCGGGCCTGGAGAGCCGCAGCGTCCTCGCCACAGCACGCGGCGGCCACGGCGCCCCCGCGCAGGCCGTAGGCGGCGCGGACCAGGTCAGCCACGCGGGTGAGGTCGCCTTGGATGGGGGGGCGGGGATTCCAACATCGTTGATGATTCTCGAGTTTGCACTGGTCCTCCTCCTCCTCCTCCTTTTCCTCCTCCTCCTCTTCCTCCTCCTCCTCTTCCTCCTCCTCCTCCTACTCCTCCTCATGACAGCCCCCTACCCCGCCTCCTCCTCCTCCTCCTCCTCCTCCTCCTCCTCCTGGGCCGAAGTCGGCTACACGCCTTGGGTGCCGCGCGCGGCGACGCCGCCGCCTTCGAGACGAAGCCAGGACGAAGATAACATCGGGTGAGGATAAAGAAAGAATTTCCGAGAGCTGGTGGCTCTGGAGGAATACTCTGGCGCCGCGGCCCTCTTAAAGCGTTCCGGAACGCTCTGGAACGGATTTATCCTCGTACTAGCCCCGCTCGACTTCATGCGGGAGCGATCAACGGGGGGGGGGCCGAGAAACGTGCACCCGCCGACGGTTGGAGAGGAGGAGGCGGAGGAGGAGGAGGAGAAGGAGAAGGAGGAGGACGAGGAGGGGGAGGAGGAGGAGGAGGAGGAGGAGGAGGAGGAGGAGGAGGAGGAGGAGGAGGAGGAGGAGGAGGAGAAGTCTGGAGCGGGGAACAGTGCAGGATTGTTGGGGGGTCGTTAGGTGCCGAATCGGGAAGTCGCTCCTCAGCCCAACGTCCTGCTCCCCCTCCCTCGTCCTCCCTCCTCCTCCACTCTCCCTCCGCACCGACCCCCTCGTCCGCCCAGATCCCTCCTCGCCCCCCCCCCCCCACCACCACACCTGCTCCCCTCAGGATCCTCCTCCATCGTGCTTCCCTCGCCCCCTTCCTCCTCTACAATCGCCACGGGGCACTTCCCTCAATGGAGCCTTGTAGGAGCCTGTGAAGAGGGAGCTTGGAGGGGGGGTTATTCCAGCATCGTTGATGCGTCTTGGATTTGCACTGGTCCTCCTCACGTCTCGACCAAAGTGAATTCAATGGATGATCCTGACTTGGATCCTTTCGCAGATCTACACAGGTATGGAGGTGCCAGCAATTTGAATCAATAATCAGAGGGACACCGATCTCCCGTCGTAGGGCGTCGGTGCCAAGCTGGAGCAGCCTTGTGCAACCCAGGGGCTGGTCTGCGGGAGACCCCCTTGGAGCTCCAGCGATGCATGTACCCTGACGGCTAAGCAGCCGGTCGTCGATTCACGTGCTGCTGGACACGGCACCTCCGAGGAAGGCCACGAGCAGCACAGCGTACCGGAGGTGCATGAAACCTTCCTGTTCGCCAACATCACGCTGTGGGGTCCACAGGCTCGGAATGCCCTCCATCAACAACCGCGCGCCCATCCGTTGGTTGGGCATGTCGAGAGACCCATCAGCCAGAGGACAAGAGCGCTCACTGTATGGGCATCTGGATGGGTGGCATCTCTTTCTCTCTCTCTCTCTCTTTCTCTTACAAGGCTGGGTTCTTCTCAGGACATTCAGAGACAGGCATCTCTGCAGGAGAACGGGTATTATCTCGAACAAATCTCACTACCACGCTCTGCGACAGAATGCGCCAACAAGCTACGTCTAATGGCCGCCAGGATCCGTTCAAGGGTTTCGCAGCCACTGCCTTGCACCTCCAGGCAGGCAACGTCGTCTGCATCGCGGCCTACTTGCTGCCATCCATTGGGCTCAGAGGATAGAACCTCGACGTTCTGACAGCTTCGGCAGCCTTCACCAAGGCGCTAGCAGACCCATGGTTTATCATGGCCGACTGGAGCTGTGAACCCCAGGAGCTGCAGGACGCGGGCTGGATCACCAAATGAATGGCCTCCTGATAAAACTTCAAGTCCAGATTCCTTGCGACAAAGGTCAAGGGCGCATGTACGACTATGGAACAATCGTAAGATCCCTGCACGCGCGAGATGCCCTCCGTGCCATCACCGCTGTGCCGTGGAAGACGCATTGCGCTGTGGCAACATCCTAGACAGCTAGAAGACATGGTGGCATCGAGCGTAGGAGATGCCCAAGCTCCTGCCTACAGTAGGCAGTCCTGCAGGCAAGACTTCAGCTACCAGCACGCGTACTCTCCGCAAGCAGCAGGGCCATGAAGCGCGTAGACAGGCACGACCTGAAGAGCTACGAGGGGCGTTCGACGACCTCGCTGACATCACGGAGGCTGCGCCCACATCGCCGCCAAGCTTCCACATTGTCGACGCCGAGTTGAACTACATCTACGCAGGCCTCCCGCCACCACCGGCACCACGCAAAGCATGAGATCACCTGCTTGGGAGGCCACTTGTATTTTGGAGGCCCAGGGAACGTGCTGCACTGGATGATCGTTACGGTCGCTGGGCGACGACATTTGAGCAGGCCATCGTTCAGATCATCCCCGAGGAAGACCACGAGAGCATCTACGGGCGAGCAGCTGGTTATACGATCGGATGGCAACATATGAAGCCTGCGCCTGGCAGGACCCACATGAAGGACCCACATGAAGGACTCCATATCCACCCTCCTCACTGGAGGCCTTGAGGCCGAAACCATCAACAGGCGCAGCAATGTTGAATGCCAACAACCGCCATGTTTTGAAGATCGATGCCACAAGCTGCCCTGATTACTACGGCAAGAAGACCTCGACATCGGAGATCGACGCCTGGAACCCAAGAGGCTCCCCCGAGGCACTCAAGACGCTCACAGGGGCCCCAGGGACTGCTAAGAGGCCCCCAAAATGTCCCAAAATGACCTCACGAAGCTCTCAAGAATCTTTCGGAGAGACTCCGGGTCTCTGGCCTTTCTGCTCACCCTCCTCCTCCTCTTCCTCCTCCTCTTTCTTCCTCATCCACCTGTTCCTCATCCTCCTTGCTCCCTCCTCCATCCTTCCTCCTCACTCCTCCCCCTCCACCTCCGCCTGCTCCTCCTTGTCTTCCTCATTCCGTCCTCCAATTCCTCCTCCATCCTCCCCCTCTCGGGGCATGACGGCTTCCCGAGCCTTTGATTCCACTGCATGCTCCTCCACATCCCTGCCCAGGCATCGGTTCTTGATGGGCTGGTGGGGTTACGCGGATCGCCCCATTGCTTTGAACATGGGGGTGGCAGATGCGGGAAGGGCGACCGCTGCTGCCTAAGCACCCGCGCGACAGTGCGTGCTTGCTAAATCTGCCAATGCGTGCTTAAGTGCACATATGCGAAGAACGCAGCTGACGTTTTTTCTCTCGTTAACTTTTGCCCCCATTTGCCCCATCCCCAAGTGCAACCGAAGGATCGTCTAGATACCCACACCTAATCGGATCGGACCCACCATAATCGATGCGGAATCGGATCGATCGCATCCGAGATTGACCGTAACAGGGAGAGGAAGGCAGGGAGGCCCCACTGGAAGAAAAAACACATATGCTGCCTACGTGGGTGCTGTCCGAGAAGGCCTGCTGGAGGAGGCAGGGCTTGAATGGCCATCGCTCGGACGTCCATTCCCCGTGCATGTTTCGGTTTCGTGCGTTTTTTCGTCTCGCCGAGAAAAAATGCACACGTCCGAGCGATGCCAAGTTAAGAGGCGGGCCCCGCCTTCTCAGGAGGCCTCACCTTCTACATACCCTGCGCCCCCCTCCTCCCCCCAAACAAAAAATTAAACTGCCCCTGAGATCTTTAAGGGCCCGCTCTGGCCAGCGTCTCTTGAGCCGCGACCAGCCGTGGCCACGAGCAGACAAGCGTGTTCCACTACTCGCAGAGGAGCTCCTCGCAAACAGCCCGGATCCGCCGCGGGGGGTCTACGATCCATTACACCGAGGCAGGCATATGCGTTTCTGGACGTTTGCGAGTAGGCACTTAGCGAAAGAAACCCAACCCTGAGACACCAGGACGTCCATCGATTTTTGGTGTGGGAACGTCACGCTGTCCATCGCAAAACCATCAAAACCCAGGGCACCCTGGAGGCACGCAGGGTGTTCCTTGGCATGGGTCTCCACTGTAGTGAAGCGCGCTCGGTGAACGAGGGGGGCCCGGACCCCCGAGGGCCAAGAAGCTGGGCTCTGGGATTCTGGGCTGTCATCGCGCGCGCCCACGAGTGTGGACGCCCGAAATGGGTATGGAAAAAACGGGCAGAATGCCCAACAGCAAATGTTGCCCAAAACCAACAGCGGCCGCTGTCGGGTAGGCGGCCTCCTGTCTCAAACGGACACAGGCCGCAGCGGCGCCGACAGCGAGCCCTGTTCAACGTGACAAGACACCGCTGTTGGGCATTGTGCCCACTCTTTCCGTGTCCATCTCGTTCATGCCGAACGAAGGGGCACGAGGACCGGGCAGAAAGGATGGACGGGCAGCCGCAGACGACGACAGGCGGAGGAAGGCTGGCGACGGCGCCGGCGACGACGACACCTACGGACGACCGACGGGACGCCCGTAGCCTTACGACACCAAGAAACGATCGGCTGCGCCGCAGAGGGGGGGGGCAGGAAGAGGGAAGTTGGCGTTTTGGCCCGAGGCACGAGAGTGGACGAGGGGGGGCCAGGGAACGCGCTGAAAGAAGGGGGGGGGCGTGAAACCCAGGAGATCTCATTGCCCCAGCCATGATGCCCCCCCACCACCACGCACACACACGCGCGCGCGCACGCACACACGCACGCACACACACGCACACACACACACACACACACACACACACACACGCACGCACGCACACGCACACGCACACGCACACGCACACGCACACGCACACGCACACGCACACGCACACGCACACACACACACACACACATACACACGCACACACACCTACACACGCAGACACCTACAACCAACCCCGAAACTGGGAAGCCGGCGGCGGAAAGGGAGGGACCCCTGCAACGATCGCCCCTCCCACCGGCATGAAACAAACGGCTCCCGAGGGAGCGGGCCCCGGACCCCGGGGGGCCTTCCCCAGGGGCCAGCTCTCCATCCCGAGTCCTGCTCGGACACTCCCTGGGGCCCAGGGGGCGCCCCGAGACTCCGAGCATGGCGCAAGTCCCGAGGACCCGTTCCCCTCGGGACCCGTCTGCTCCATGCCGACCCCTGCGGCCGTACTGGTCCAGGCCCCGGAGCAGGGTTCCGGATCCTGGCGCGCCCGAACAAACTGCAGCCGTGGGCGGAGGCATGATCCATCACTCCGCGCTCTTCCGCTGGAGCTTCTTAAGTCCGGCTTTGCAGCGTCAGTGTCCTGCTTTCGGGGGCCCTGGCCCCCCCTTCAACACTCACAGGGGGGACCAGCGCAAAAAAAAAAAAAAAATCACATCGAGACGGAGCCGGCGATGCCTCGCCGATGGATCTGCGATGGACCCCCGATGGCGCATCCGCACACTCTGGGGCGGGGCGGGTGATCGGGCCGCTATCGGCGATGAGCGGGCGATCGGGGCCGATGCGCTCCCCCTCCGAGCCCAGGGCTCGACCCAAACGGTGTTTCTCGTTTTCGTCTTGTCTCCGTCTTCCCTCGGCTTGCCTTCGCTCCTCCTCTGCTGCAAAACGGAATCAGAACGAAAGCGGCCTGCGAGATCGCCAAAAAAGCCGAGCCCTGCCTGAGCCCCCCCCCCCCGAGTGAGCAGTGACCAGCGTCGTCCGGGGTTCGGGCCACGCCTCGGACCCCCGGCGGCCACCTCGCGACGCACCCCGGGCACTTCCGCACGCCCCTCGACGGGGCGCAGCGTCTGGAACGCACCCCGAGGCTGGAGCACCGCCGAGAACCGACGAACACGCCCGAATCCCAGGAGCCGAAAGCCCGAAACTAAAGGGGCCCCGGGACACACAGACAAGTAGACACAAGTCCCAAGCTTCCCAATATTTTCTCATATTTTCTGGCTTGTCGTCTTCCCCCCACTTCCCATCTGTTCCCATATTTTCCTGGGAGTCGACGATGATTTGTGTCTGTGTTGTTTCCCCTTCTGAGGAACGGTGCCCCGCACCATTCCCCCCGAAACGATTGCGGGTCGATGCGGTCCCCCCCCCGAGCGCGCCCCCACCCAACCTGGAGATCCGACGTCTCGAGCAAATTGAGGAATCGTGAAACATCAGGGCTGGAGCCCTGGACTCCACCTTTCTACGCCATCCTTCGAGCCGGATCGATCTGTGGGGGTCCCGGGGACCGAAACTGGAGTGGATGAGGTCTGAGTAAGTGGGGTCGGAGGATCGCACCGCATCGCCGATGCATAGCCGATGCATCGGCGATGCATCGCCGACGTCGGCGGTGCACCGGCGACGCCATCGCGGAGCAAATCAGGCTCCACATCGAGCTGCATCGGCGATGCATCGACGATGCGGCGCTGTCCTGCGACCCCATCTGCTCGGACCCCCGTTGGGAGGGCTGGAGAACTGGGCGGAAACGTCCTGCTCGAAAACATTGAGTCCCCAGGATCTGAGGGAGCGCTGCCCCTGAGAGCCTGTTTTTGTTTAGTCCCCGGCAAGTTTACTTGAATTGACGGGGGAGGGGGGGGCCTGAACCCGAAGCAAGCCGCCAACGACCAACGACTTGCGCGTGCGGAGATCACGCACGTCGAAGGGCACTTGCAAGCTGGTATTCGTGTGACGAGGGGCGAAGGGGGGGGGGGGAGGGGGAGGGGCGAACGCCATGCAAGTAAACTCGCATGAACCTGAAAAAGGAGGAGGAGGAGGAGGAGCAGGAGGAGGAGGAGGACGAGGAGCAGGAGGAGCAGGAGGAGGAGCAAGAGGAGGAGGGAGCTGGGCGAAGACGTCCGGCTCGAAACCATCGAGCCGCCGGGACCTCAGAGGGAGCGCCGCCCCCGATCTGTGCCGTGCCGCCGGTCGCCCGCCACGGCGCAGCCGCGGAGGAGGATGCCGTAGGTGCGCGCGTCGGGGCGCACGCCCTCCTCCGCGGCCCGGGCGAGGACCTCGGGCGGCCCGGGGTGCGGCGGGCCGCCGCTCCCCGCGAGGGAGGCCAATGCTGGGCCTCACGTTCGGTCGGGCGTGTCCCCCTACAGGCGGAGTCTGCAGGAAAAACGGGGCGCGGCATAACAACAGTCAAGCATAAACCGGCATGGCAGACAACCTCGTCCCCAGATGCTTTCTGTGCATGCTCTGCTTGAGCATTCCTCCTGTCAGAGGGCATGCCCGACCCGGGCTTCACGCTGCCCCGACACGCAGCGCGCCACACGCAGCGTGCTGGCACGGAGCTCCGCACGCAGACCGCACGCGCGGCTCCGGCGCGGCACGTCCGCCAAGGCGCGGACCCGCACGTCGGGCGCCAACGCGCAGCGTGCTCCCACGCGGACGCTCCGAACACGGCACGTGCTGCGCCTCAGCGCGGGCGCCTCAGGGCAGCTCGGCTCCCCGAAGGCCTCCGTCGGAGCGGTTCAGAGCTGACTGCGGCGGGTTCGCGCGGGGAGGCCACTGAGACGAGGCCAGGACGAGGACAACATCGGGTGAGGATACATCGAGAACCTCTGAAATTCGGCGGCTCTGGAAGCATGTCTCGAAACGCTCTGTGAGCGTTCTGGACGCTCTGGAACTGCTTTATCCTCATCCTAGCTCCGTCCGAGCCATTCCTGGGAGGTCTTCGTCGGAGCGGTTCAGAGCTGACCACGGCAGGTTCGTGCGGCGTCGGCGCGCGTCGAGGTTTTGGACACCGCGTCGATCCTTCAGCCTCGAACCGATCGTGGCCCCGATCGTGCAAGGCTGAATTCCGTCGGGTCCAGTGGCGCTACCATGCCTCTCGGTGTTTCCGCGCCGGTCTATCATACGTAGTTCAACCTTGAGCGCCTTCGCCAGCATCACCGGCGCACCAACGCCGCACGAACCTACTTACCGTACAGTCAAGGCGTAGAACGAGGATGCACGACAAGGATGCAAGGGCCTTGGAAGGGCATGTCGACGCTCTTCGAACGGGGTTAGCTCCGTCAAGTTGCCAAGGATGTGTCGAAAGTGGCAAGGATGCAGGGGTAACCTTGGACAATTGCGCATCCTTACGGATGCGCTTTGACTGTAAACGCGATTGAGGGGACCATCGAGCTAGATGAAGCAAGATTGAGTCCAGGATTAACCGGATTGCACGGGATGAAGCCGGATCGAGCGGGATGAAGCTTGATGACTTGAGACAGAGCTGGATTGGTACAGTTTTCGGCCAGGAATCAGCACCGATTCTGAGTTTAACCTCTCAGGAGTTGCATCCTAAATGGCATGAGCGCCCCGTGGCATCCCGAGATGCCCTCCAGGGCAGAAAAATACCGACTGCTGCATGGAAGCCAGCGCTTCAAAGATGGGGCACTGAGACATGGGGCCCTGATGCAGAAGAGGGAACAACTGCATAAGCATCAACTTTCGACGCGCGGAGAGCGCCAGGGACGGCGCCAGAGACGCCGCCAGAGGGCCGATCCAAGAAATCCGAGCGGACCTCCGAACATTTGTGCGTTATGCAGTTGTCCTCCTCTGATCTTCTTCGGGCCACATCCCTCACTGACTACCTACCAGACCACCCCAACCCAACCCGAAGACCCGAATTTCGGGTTCGGGCGGTACGGATTCAAGTCGTGCTTTTTCGGTATTCCCCGACCCCCCCCCCACTGGAAATGGAGGGCAGATCGGAGCCGTCGGTTTGGGTTGGGGCGGTGACTCACGGCCCACCTGCGAAGCCCCGAGGAAGCACACGCACAAGCTTCAGGAGGCTCGCGCGGGCCTCCGGGGACGAGGCTGGGGCCCCCCCTTCCCTCGCACTCGGCGCCGGGGGAAGGGTCAGGTCGGGCATGTCCTCTTACAGGCGGACTTTGAGAGAAAAATGAACAATAGTCAAAACATACTCCAAAATAAAATAATCGAAACATCGCCCCCCAGACTATATTATGACTATTTTGAACATTCCTCCTGTAGAGGGACATGCCCGACTTAAGACGAGGCTGGGCACCTCCTTCCCTCGCACTCCACGCCGGGGGAAGGGGCGTGGAGAGGCATGCTGGGCGCCGACACGAGTCCACGCGGGCCGCCGAGAGAACGCTCTACTTGTAGAGCGGCATGCTGCCATCTGCAGAAGCACTGCCAAACAAAACACACAGACAGACAAAATTAACAAGAGAACTGTTGCCAAAATCACCCAACATCGAATCGGAAAAACGGGCCGAATCGGACTGTGCGTCGGATCAGGCCGCACCGTCACGGAGCCGGACTCGAGTCGGATCGGCCGCGCCATGATGCACAACAGCGCCATGCGAGCATTCGGAGCAGGGCGAAGTGAGACAGCGGCAGCTCGAAATCTGTCCCCGGACCTCTCCCGAGGTCCGAACGCACCAACTTTCTGAGCTGCGCCCAGCTGCGGCGACGAGGGCCCCCCCAAGGCCATCTACCGTTGTTCGGTGGCGAGCCCAGGGGGGAAGTGAGAAGGGGCGGGCCTTCTCAGAAGGCTCGGAAGCCCCCCGGCCTTCTGAGAAGTTTCCCAAGCCTTCCGCGAAGACGCAGAAAATCTCTCAGAAGACGTGGGGGCTTCTGAGAAGTCCCGCCGCCTTCTGAGGAAGCCTTCTCCTTCTCATTTCCCCCCCTCGCTCGCCGACGAGTTGCCTCCACTCGCCCCCCTTCTGAAGCAGGGGGATATGTCGAATTGTAGGACTATCGGAATCAAATCGGATTAGGCCGGCTAGAATCGACGTCGAAGCGGATCGATCGGATCGAAGTGGGCCCTGTAGCTACTTTTGCCTCGCGGAATTCTGCTCGGCCAGGCCTGCCGCCCCACTGGCCCTTCCTTACCGGTAGGTTGTCAATACACAATAAGGACTCGACCACAAGAAACCTCCCACAAGACGCCCAACCCTGAGACCCCAGGACGTCCACTGACTTTTGGTGTGGGCACGTCACGCTTCCCATGGCAAACTCATCGAGACCAAGAAACCCAGAGCACCCTGAAGGCAAGTAGGGTGTTTCTTGGCAGGAGTGTCCACTGTAAACTAGCAGGTCGTGGACTAGGGAGGACTCGGCGCTCGCGCGTGGGAACTAAACCAGGCCTCAGCGCGCGCGCGCGCGTGGGAACACATCTGATGTTTGATACACGCTCGTGGACTGGGGAACATCATCTGTCGCGCGCGCGAGGCGATACATCAACACCTCACTGTGAGAGGCGCCGGCTGACCACGCGCGACCTGGAGCGCACGGTCGTGGTCCTTGTGGGCGGTGCACGCCTGCATCAGGTTGTTGAACACGTGGATATTCGGCCGGAGGCAATGCTTGCGGGAAACTCTGTCGCAGAGCTCGAACGCCTGGCAGGATCCCCGCCACCCAACCTCGCGCTTCGCGCACCGCGCTCCGCGCTGCGCGACGCGCCCCAGATATGATCGCGTCGTGCAAACATCACGACGAGAAGCTCTTGGCCGTTTTCGACCTCTGGGGGGCACCGCCAAGCCTCGGGACCGTCAAAAAAAGACTCGGGACGACAAACTGGGCCAGTGGGAAAGGTTCGGGACTTCTGGGGAACGTGTCTTGAACGAGTCAATACGTCGCATGTCTGGGGCGGTTGGCTTCGCGCCCTCGCGCAGCCGCCAAGGAGAAGGGCGCCTCTCTAACCAAGGCCGCGACGCGGCAAGCGAGGCTATCTTCGCGCCCCTCAGATGATCGAGCACGATCAGCCAGCATCGAATCGGGAAGTGGCATCGGCTCGCAACGTGCGTCGGATCGGGCGGCATCGGCACGGGGTCGAGATCGAATCGCCCAGTCGCGCCATGATTTGATGATCCTCACAACGCGCCAACGTGTGTTTATCCACCGAGGCCCTTCCATACGACGCAGGCGATGTGATGATCTGCGGGTGTGGCTGAACGGGGTAAATACACATTGGGCTAACACACGTCCTGAGGATCATTGGATGATGCACAACAGCGCCATGCAAGCATCGGGCCGCGTCGGATCGCCTGAGTATCGCAGTCGGATCGATCGATCGGATCGATCGGAATCGGCAATCCGAACCGGTTCGAGATTGGCCCTGCCTGGTCCAGTCGCCGGCTGCGGTTCGCCAGCTTCACCAGCACCGACAGCGTGAAGTTGCTGGGCTTCACGCCCGCATCCTCCATGTCCCTGAGCAGCGCCACGCCTCGGTCAAACAGGGCGCGGCGGGCGCAGCCGTCCAAAAGCGTGTTGTCCGCCACCGCCCCCTCGGCACGCTGAGATGTGGTGTGGGGTATGGGAAACCCGAAGGTACCGATGCCGCTGCTCCACGAACGTCTCCCGGGGTGCGTTCTGACTAGAATTTAGAGCCTGATCCAGCGGTGGCGACGAGGGCCTCCCAGGAGGCCCCAATAAGGGGAAAGAGGGAAGCGCAGCGGTATCGGTACTTTTTCCTCCTCTGAGTTGAGGCGTGGTGGGATGGCTGTCTGGCAGGGTGTCTGCAATCTTCCAAGGGCCCACTTGGGTCGTCTTGGAGGCACCGTGCGCCATCTTGGCGGCTTTGGTTGACTGCCTCGGCCGTCTTTAGAGAAGCGCGCTCCACTACTCGCAAAGTGACAACTCGCACATGGCCTGGATCCGCCATGGGAGACTTACGATACTTGTGCAGTACGTCGATGCGGACATGTTTTTTTGTTCTGGCGTTTGCGAGTAGGCACTTTGCGAGCAGTGGAACGCGCTCGGTGAGTCTTGGAGGCTCGGGAGCGCGGCTGCCACTGCTCTTTGCGGGTTCGTGGCCTTGGGAGCGCGGACCCTCAGCTCTTGCGTGCCAGGGATGCCACGGACTGTGGCCCCGGGAGGGGGGCGGCGCAGGCAGCCGATCCCTGAAGAGGGAGGGGGGGGGCCTCCACGCGGCCCGAGGCAGCCCCAAGCTGGCCCAAGAGGGCTCCCGGAGGGACCCACGATGGCCTCAGAGGGCTCCTCGACGGCCCAGGAAAGCCCCACGACGGCCCCAAGAGACTTCCCTAGACGGCCCAAAGACGGCCCAAGATGTGTCCAAAGCGGCCCAATAGAGCCACAAGGGACACCCTAGACTGCCCCCTACAGGAGCCCAAGACAGCTTCAAGACGGCCCACATGAGATCCATGGGAGCTCCTCAAGAAGTGAAGACGGAAGGTGTCATGTGACGGCCTTCGGTGCTCGAAGCTTTGCCATTCCACGGGCTGAGCTGGCACGGTGACGGGACTTGCCTCAGGCACCTGGATAGGCGATCTCGTCTGGCCGGAGGTCCTTTGTGAGCTTCATCTCGTCCAGCAGCTGGAAGGCCTTCTCCAGCTGGTTCTCCTGCACGTACCCCTTCAGGATGGTGCTGTAGGTGATCACGTTGGGCTCGATGTGCTGCCGAGACATCTCCTCCATCACGCCAGGGATGCTGTCCATCTCGCCGCACTTGGCGCACGCGTCCACGATCGTGTTGTAGGTCACGATGGAGAACTGGAGCCGGTCCCTGAGCATCTCCTGCGGAGGCCCCCCGAGCCCTCCGACCCTGCGCAGGTCCCTGGGAGGTCCCGCCAGAGGTCAAAGAGGCATCCATGGCTGGGGAGCCGCAAAAGACGGACGCGCCCAAGCACGAACATCAATACTGCCCTCCCGTCCGCGAGACCAACCTCGTGAAACGAACGTCCGCGAAATGCGAACTGTCGAGACCAACGTGGATTCATGTACGTGTGCGTCCTTCTTTTGTTCCTGAATGGTGGCATTCAAACAAGAAAGAAATCACTGCATAAACGTAAACTTTCGACGGTCCGTGCAAATTTCTCGGGTCCGCCGCGGGGCGGCGCCGGAGGCGCCGCCAGCGGGGCCCAGCGCGGATCCAAGAAATCTGCGCGGACAGTCGAGAGTCTATGTTTATGCCCTTCTATGTTCTTCGACTCAAAACCCCCGAAAAGGACGAGGAAGCGTCCTGAAACTTCGAACCGCGATCCTCGATCCCCGACCCTCGAACCTCCCGGGACCCTTCGCGCCGTGAGCGGCAACCTGCGACGGAGCGCCCTCAGCAACGCTTCGGCTTCCGAAGTGGCCCTCACGGGGCTCCGAGACCGTCCACAAAACGGCTCGGGATGGCGCGTTCCATCTGGGGTTCTTGCAATTTACTTACACTGTATTTCCCCTTAGGAGGCAACTACTGGGAAGTCTTCGTCGGAAGGATGAGGGAGGATTGAGCCCCGGCTGCTACGGCGAATTAGGCCGCGGATCAAGCGGGATTTAGCCAGATTAAGCGGGATCAAGCCGGATTAAGCGGGACTGCGTTGGAGTAAGCTGGTTTTCGGACCAGGGCGAAGTCAAAATTTGACTTCCCAGGAGTTGCATCCGAATTTCCCTCTCCGCCATTTCAAACAGCGCTGGGCCGAGAGTCCTGACCTGCGTGAAGTCAATATTTTCCTTCGAGCCTCGACACGGACCCCCCCACGGCCTCCATGCAAATCCACTTGCAGAAGCCTGAAGAAAGCATCCTCACGAAAAAGCACGTCCCAGGGGGAAGGGGACAGGACCTCCAGGGGAACCGACGGGAAGAAGCCACGACGTCGGAGGTCTGGGCTCGACAAGCACTTTCCCTGAGGAGGCAGATTCTGCAAGAAAAACACAGCACAGACAGAAAACAACGAAGAACCATCCCAAGAGCACGAGAAATCACTTGAACTTCCCCACGACCGGCGAACATAACCCAGACCCACGCAGACTGGCGGCCTGGACTCCAAGGGCGCGGTCCCACGGATAATCACGCGGTCGAATGGCTGCGTTCCGCGCGGAGCATGGGCGACACAACTGCCCCACATCCACGGGGCACCGGACCGCGGGCCCGGCCCGCGAGGCCGTGGACTCGGGCATATGTCGCCGCGCACGGCCTCAGGAAGTGCGCCGAGGTAAGGGATCGACGAGGGCAAGGCTGCTTCGCAAACACCCTCCCCCTCTTCCTCCTCCTCCTCCCCCTCCTCCTCCTCCTCCTCGTCCTCCTCCTCCTCCTCCTCCTCCTCATCCTCCTCCCTCTCCTCCTCCTCCTCCTCCTCCTCCTCCTCCTCCTCCTCCTCCTCCTCCACAAACCGCGACCCCAGCACCCTTCCCTCTGTAGGAGTGGTGGCCACCGGGGTCAGGCGTGTGAGGGCGACGTCCAATACGAGTGCACCTGCAGACCCCCGCGGCCTGCGGGCAACGGACCCTGACCCAGACCAGGGGGGAAAAGGCAGTGAAACAACGCTCCAGCAAAAGGAACCCCCGCGCGCTCCTGGGCGAAGTGGGCTAATTATCGAGCCACTGTCGTCGATCCATGCGCAATTGGGGTCGATGCATTCCCTCCCTGAGCCAACCTAAAGGGGCCCAGGGACACACAAATAGATATACACAAATACCAGGAGTCCCGATGTTCTCCCATATTTTCTGGATTTTCGTTTTCGCCCTCACTCCCCATATTTCCTCATGATTTTCTGGGATTCGACGATGGCTTGTTTCTGTGTTTTTTCCCCTCCTGAGATCCCCTCTCGAACGTTGCCCCTGATCTCGGGGAACAAGAAAACGGTATAAGCATAAACTGTGAGGGGTCCGCGCGGATTTCTCGGATCGGTGCTGGAGCCCCCTCCCTAGCGCGAGGAGCGCGCAGGAGGAGGAGGAGGGAGGAGGTGAGGAGGAGGAGGAGGAGGACGAGGAGGAGAAGGCGGAGGAGGACGAGGAGGAGGAGGAGGGTGTTACTAATGTCCCGGATCGGTGCTAAAACCCCTCCATGGCACGCAGAGCGCGACGAGGGCGGCGCCAGAGGCGCCGCCAGGAGGGCTCCAGCGTCGATCCGAGAAATGCCCCCCCGAGATGTTTTATGCTTATGTCATTCCTTGTTCCACGGCCAGCGTTGCCCCGGACCCTCCTCCTGGGGATCTCGTTGTTATTTTCCTCGCCCCCTGGCCATCGCTCGGACGTCAATTCCCCGTGCATGTTTCAGTTTCGTGCGTGCTCTTTTCCGAAATAATCCAGGATGCTCCTCGATGGTCCCCGCCGAGAAGAAATGCACACGTCCAAGCCATGCCAAGTCTCTCTGATCCTGGTACACGGCCCACACGTCGGCGTGGCGCTTTTGCTGCGCGTAGCCCTTCAGCACCGAGTTGTAGATCACCGCGTTGACCAGGTCGCAGAGGTCCTCGGTCGGGAGAGGCGCGAAGCATACGGCAAGTTCGTGCCGTGCCGATTTCGGCGTTGGTTTTTGACACCGCGGGGATGGTTCAGCATTGAACGATCGGCCGTTTCCGAAGCCTCAGATCGTTCAACATCGACCGATTCTAGGTCGCTGGCGGCGTTCAACGTTGACCGCCAGCGGCGGGGTCGCCGTTGAACGACATCACGCGAACCCACCGTACACCAAGCTTGTGCACTCTGTGCACGAGACTGATTTAAACGCATGTTCCGCACGACTAGCGCCTCTCAGTGTCTTTCAGTGTCCCTGTCAGCGCTTATGAGCGTCCATTAGCGCCTATCGGCGCCTACTAGTGTCTGTTAGCGCGTACGAGCGACTTGTTACAAGAAGCAGCAGTAAACGCCTAACCAAACCATCTGGTCGGCCAAAGGATTCGGTGTATACCCAGACAGGTGGTCCTCGGCTTCTGGGGGGAGTCGCCGGGCCGCGGGGCCGTCAACCAACGACTCGAGATGAAAAACCGGCCCTGGAAAACGGGTCGGGATTTCCGGGGAACGCGCATTGAATACATCAAACCATCGTATGTCTCGGGATGCCCCCAACTTCCCAACTTGCGGGGTGCTGGAGCACCCACGCACCGAACTCCTTCGCCGATTCCAGCGGCTCCTTGGCCGACCAGCCGTGCGTTTTGTTAACAATCTCCGATGACGCCCGCTTCTGGGGACGCCCCCCCTCTCACGACCCGCGGCGGTGCCGTGGGGAAAAGCGCACAGACGGCGCCGGCGCGGGTCGTGACCCGCTCCCCTCTCCCCCCCCTCCCGGTGACGGACGGCCGCTGTCGCGAGCGGCATAAAATTTGGTCGGGCATGTCCCCCTACAGCCCTACAGGCTGATACTTGTGGAAAGATGCATCACGTGGCAACACAATTCAAACATATGCCTGACATGGGTGAAACATCGTCCCCATACTAGTTTGACGCTATTTTTGAATACTCCTCCTGTACAGGCCCCACCTGAGCACAAGTACAGGCGCCCAGGGCGCGGTGTGCACATGCCGAACCCCCCCGCGTCCTTGTCGCCCCGCACCTCGCGGATGAGGGCGTGGCCGGCCTCCGGGAGGGGGCGGGGCGGCGGGGGCGCGCGGGCGCGCGCCCCGCGGTCGCGGGCGCCCTTGCGGCGCGCACTCACGAGTTGGCGTGGCGCGAGGGGGGGGCGTGGAGGCCGCGGCCTCGGAATTCTTCGTCCTCCTCCTCCTCCTCCTCCTCCGCCTCCTCCTCCTCTTCTCCCCCCGCCTCCGCCTCCTCCCTCCATCACCTCCTCGAGTTCCTGTCATTTTCCTCCTCCTCGTCCTCCTCTTCCTCCTCCTCCTCCTCCTTCTCCTCCTCCTCCTCTTCCCCTTTCCTCCTCGCGGTCTCCGAAGAGAGCTCTTTGCACGTGCGGTCACCGCGCCGCCTGTTTGCCTTGCAGGCCCCAGTCGCCCGACCCGTCCTTGCAGAACTTCTGCGAGGACGCGATCGAAACTTCTCCGAAGCGGGAAGTCTCTCGCGCGGGAGAGCCCCGAAAACGTTATATAAACAGAAACAACCGTTTATCGAACGCAAAGAAAACTTTACATTTGACCAGTTGCTCAAGAGACACGCTCCCGAACTAAACTCTTCCGTCGGCGGGGTTGCGAGGGGCGACGGAGGCGGGGGCGGGGGCCCTCGGCTGGGTCAGCGGCGCTGCCGTGCGAGGGATAGCGCCGCCGTCGCCTCACACTGCATGCCGTGGCCGTGGCACGTGCGGCCCTGGGAATGCCGGCGCGGGCGGGGCCGCGTCAAGTGGGCACAGGACGTCGCCGCGCGCGCGGGGCCCCCCTGCGGCAGCTGGCAATGGCACAGGACGTCGCCGCGCGCGCGGGGCCCCCCTGCGGCAGCTGGCAATGGCCTCGCCTACCGGCGCCTGCACTTACGCACATTCGCCATACATGCAAAACGTTGACATGTAAAATCCATGGTTGTGGGGGCTGGGGTCGGTTTCCAACTGTTCAAGCAGGGCCCAAACCCCAATCACGTGAGCCCAGAACGGATCCCCAGTGACTCACCACAAGGTGTGGCCACCGCACCGTTTGCGAGCCCCCGAGAGGCTGGAGACTGCGCCTGTCGTCCCTAGGGGAAGAACAAACTGCATAAGCATAAAAACTTTCGGAGCTCCGCCCGGATTGCTTGGATCGGATTGGTGCTGGGCCACCCTTCAGGAAGCGCGGAATCAGGGTCGGCCACTGGGGGGCACCGCTGTGGGCGCCATCCGAGAAATCCGCGCGGAGCTCTTAAAGTCTTATGTGTATGCATTGTGTTCCTAGTCCTGGGGTGGGCGGGCCTGTGCGGTGCTTCAAGCGGTGGCGCAGGGCGCCAGCATCCGCCGAAGAGCGGAGAGCAAATCATGGCCGACTCAATCGATACCCCGCGGTTGTGCCGCTGTCAATCGTGCATGGAGTTTTCTTGGAAGACACTCCCGGTTTCTCAAAAGCCCTCTCAGAAGACTCACCCCCGCGAGATCTTCTGAGCAGGCCCCCTGGCTTCTGATATGAGATGCTAATACTGTCATGATACGATCGGTTCAGGTTCCAGGATTTCCAAACACATCGGGCGGCCTTCGTTTCTGCAGCCTGTGTGGAACGTTGGGGCAGATAGGAAATCCTGGAAATCTCGGAAAGCCGCCGACCCTGTCGGCGTCTGGGAGACTCTGTTCCGTTTGCCTCGCCGTCGTCGTCGTCGCAGCCGCCGCTGCTTTCCCCGTTACCGTCGCCGCTCCCTTCCGTTTCCCCCTGGCCTTCCTCTTCAACCGCCGGGGCCATCAGGAAATGAAGGCACGCGGCAAAGCCAGTCGAAGGGAAGCCCCTTCCGCTTGATCCCTTCCCCGCCGCCCGCGGACCCGCCCCAGGAACCCATGGGACCGGGGGGGGGGCGGTATCGAGGGTCCCTGGGGGGGGGGGACCTGGGGGGGGGTCCCAAGATTTCTTTGGACAGACAGACAGACAGACAGAGGCCCGGTCAAACCACATGGGTTGGCCCGTAGACGGGCGAGGCTCCAGCACAGTGGCCTGAGCGCACACGTGCGTAAACGGAGAGCAAACGTTGGGCCCTGCACAAACGCCTGGACTGGCCGCAGAAGCTCCTTCCCTTTGGGCCCTTCCCCGCCGGGGGCGGGGGGGTCCCAGGGGGAGGGGTCGCCGAGCAATGCCCCAGGGGGCGAGCGCCGGAAGGACCTCAGAGGGGGGTCCCAGGGAGGGGTCCTGAGTCCTGGGAAAGGTCACGCGTACAGGGTCGGCGGCACCAGCCGTACGGTCCTCCCGATAGTGGAGCGCGTCATTGTCATAACATCTTTCAAGGGGCCCGGACCAGGGACACACGCACGTAAATAGACACAAATCCCAGGATCCCCCATATGTTCCACATGTCGAGGAGGTTCGTCTTCCCCCCCAAGTCCCATTCCCACACTTTCTTGCGAATCGGCAATCATTAATGACTGTTTTTTTCCCCTCCTGATAGAAGGCCGCTCCCTTCGCAGCATCGCCCCCCCTGTAGGCGCGCCGCCAAGGTCCGAGGCTCGAGGGCTTTCATGACCTGCTGGCGAGGTCGGCATGGGGGAAGCGGGTCCTCAGGTCCTGATGGAAACGGGTCCTGAATGTGTTCGCTGTTTTCGGGCTCTCGGGGCCCTCCACGGGCTCAGGAACCGTCAGAAAACGACTCAGGATGAACGAGTAGTCTTGGGGGAAGGCCCCGCGGCCCAAGAATCTCGAGGCGTGCTCGAAGTGCTCCTGGAGGTTCGCGAAAGCTGTCGGAACTGCAGGAGGAGAATGGAGGAGGGAGCAGGAGGGAGAAGAGGGAGCAGACGTGTATGTGGGTGGGGATTTTGAGGTGTGCCACTGCTCGTGGTCATCCTCCAACTCCCTCTCCTCCTCCTCCTCCTCCTCCTCCTCCTCCTCCTCCTCCTCCTCCTCCTCCTTCTCGTCAACGGTCCACGCCTTCTCCTCCTCTTCATCACCACCACCATCACCACATCGCCACAATCACAATGTCCATCACCATCACCATCACCATCACCATCATCACTATCATCATCATCAGCATCATCAGCAGCATCGTCATCATCATCATCATCATCATCATCATCATCATCATCATCATCATCAGCATCAGCATCATCATAATCATCATCGTCGCCACCATCACACCATCATCATCAGCATCAGCATCAGCATCGTCAACATCAACATCAACATCAACATCATCATCATCATCACCACCACCATCATCATCATCATCAGCATCATCAACATCATCATCATCATCATCATCATCATCATCATCATCATCATCATCATCATCATCATCATCATCATCATCATCATCATCATTATTATCATCCTCATCCTCATCCTCGTCCTCGTCATCTCCTCGACAACCGCTCGCTCCCACTCCTCCATACCTCCGAAACAATCCAGACATGATCCGACACAACCAAACATATAGACAACACTGCAAAACATCTCTTGACCCTCTTCTTCCTCCTCACCCCTGCTCGGCAAGAGACCAGCAGGCCTTCTTCTCCTCTTACACCTCCGAGCACCTCTTCGCCTCTTCCTCCACCTCCTTCTCCTCATCCTCCTCTCACGTTACTATCTCCTCGGACACCCGACGCCGCGCCCTCTCGACCAAGAGATGATCGGCCCCACCCACGCCGGGGGTCTTGGACCAGGTTCCCTCAGGATCAAGACTCAAGACCCCCCCCTGGGGCCCGTTTGTCACCCCAGGTCATGCTCTGACTGCGCAGGGGCCTGGCGAGGGCCCCGAGAGCCCGAAAAGGACGGCACGCTCTCGTCTCGATTGTGCTCCGTGACGCCCGATGTCTGGGCGCCTTCGATCCTCGACGTGAACGGCGACGGCGAGAACGACGACTACGACTGGCGCGGCCGCAGCCACGCGCCTCCGGCCCGGCGTTCGTGACGAGGGCCTCCACCATGCACCCCATGGTGATGGATGTTGGCCGGATGCCGCGCTGGCGCATCTCGCGCCACCTTCGGGCCCCATACCGTCTGGGGAAGCAACTCCTGGGGGTCCTCGTACCCCGAGATCCTGGCGTCTGTTTTTTTTGAGCTGAGCGGTCTCGCCTGGTTTCGGGCCCCCTGGAGCCTCGAATGATATCGATGAGGCTCGATCAATGGCGCAGAGCTGGGGTCTGGGGCGCCGGTCGCCTTTTTTCGCGCCGGCAGATCTCAGGGTAAGAGCACCAAAATATCAGTGCGAAGGTTTTTCGACGGTTTCGGCCTCCGAGGGCCAGCAGCAGTCTCTGGAGGAGAAGAAACGGGGACCATGGCCAAGACTGACCGCAGAAGCGCCGTGCCGATCTTGGTCAGACTCGATCTTGGTCAGCACCATTTCGCGCATAATCCTTGCGAATCGGCGACGGCCGACATTGACCATGACCAAGATCGGCAACGACAAGATCCCGCGACATTTTGGTCATGGGCCCCGTGTTTCTTCCCTCGATGGGAGGACTTTGTGCCGTGAGATCCTGACGTGTCAATTATTCGAATTGGGCAGTTTCTCCCAATTTCGGGCCCCAGGGCCCTCACAAATCGATCTGGCTCGAAACATGGCGCAGACAGATGGGGTCTACGTCCCCGGTCGTGATTTATATTGCCACTTTTTGGCGTCGTCGGTTATCAGGGTAAGAGGGTGTAGGGGCTACTGAGACCGATTATCGGGCCATTAGCTGTTGAGTCTGGGGTTCAGCGGGATAAAGCGGAATTCAACGAGCATATGCTGGATTAGCCTGGCTTCCGACTGCGGCTCTGTCAGCGCCGAACTTAACCTTCCAGTAATGGCATCCTCACGGCGTCTCGAAAAGAACCGGGCGGAGCTCTCTTGGCCGCCTCGGCCTCCGCGGGTCCCAAGACCTTTGGAAAAGGAACCAGGGGGTGACAGTTCGGGCCTGGTGAAGGGATCGAGACTCCCCGTCCCTACTCCTCCTCCTCCTCCTCCTCCTCCTCCTTCTTCTCGCCCCCCCCAAGGACCTCGCATCGAAGAGGTCGGGGCACCGGACGTCTGAACGTCTGGCAGAAGGGGACAGGGACGCGCCACCCCCAGGGCAGCCGACAAGGGATGTGGCGATATCCCAATCCCCGCCGACTCGGTGGAATCTTCGGCTGGCCAAGAGAAATGAGGCCCAGATGCACGATGGGGGGAGTCCATCCTCGACAGGGGCGTGTCCGAACAGCCCCTTGGGGGTTCTTCCCGATGCCCCCCAAGTTTTGACAGGGTGGGCTCCGGGGCTGGGGGCGAAATGCCCAAACATCCAGCGCCAGCGGCTCGATGCTTTCTATACCTATCGGCCACTCCCCCAGGGATGGCTCCTCATCTGGAAAAGTTTTGTTCACGATACTGGGGCCCAAATCTGGAATCGGATGCCATCTCGATTTGTTCGAGCTGGGCATCGCCTGGCATCAACGCTAACCTGGGCTGGGCCCAGCTCGCGAATGTGGGCCGGCCCCCCTCACCCGCACCCCCAGGGGTGCCAAAGCCCCAGGCGTGCTCCGCGTGCCCCGAAAAGCTCGCGAAGCAAAGCGTGGCACCTGGCGCCTCGCACGGCTGGGCCTCCGTGCTGCGGGGGAGCCGCCGCACGGACCAGGCGCTGCACCGTTTGTACCAGCGCGCAGGCCAACCTGCGTCGGAGAGAGGTTTGTCTCGTCTTCCAAAATGTGACTCCCGTCGATTGGTGTTTGCTACAGTGGAGGCCAGTCCACAAGAGACCTTCACAAGAAACCATACCCTGAGACCTCAAGACTTCTATTGATATTTGGTGTGGGAACGTCACGTTTTCCATAGCAAACCGTCGAAACCGAAGAAACCTAGGGCACCCTGGAGGCAAGCACGGTGTTTCTGGCATGGACCTCCACTGTATCGTGGTCTGGCTTGACCTCACAGGACAAAGGCTGCAGCACCAGGCCTGCCCTGCCACTTGCACTCTGCCCCTCTCCCTTGCTGTTCTGGTCGAGCTTGCTCGGAGATGGCACGCGACAGGACTCATGATTCTCCCGAAGACGCAGGCCCCATGCTCCAGGAAAGGGGAGTGCCCAGTGCCTTAGGCGCGCAATATATCAGGACACAGGTGCAATCCTGATTTGACAGGGCAGCGCAATCACAAAACTCGAACACCCCCGTACCCTCACCGTTCTCGCTGAACAAATTTAGCATGGGCAAAGTTGCGAGACGGGGATTCATCTAAAATCACCGCCGTGGGGACCCATCTTCGGAGACCTCGGCAGGCGGTGGATATGGACATGTCCCCCCTCCAACAGGGCCCGAATGTGTATCCAGATCCACCGCCTGCCGAGTTCTCCGAAGATCAATCCACCAAGCGGAGGCTACGGATAATTCCTCAACTCGGAAAAGTTGGCCGACAGCAAATGATGTCAAGACGCAGCCATACTTAGCTGCGCTCTGACGTACAAGCACGAAGCGATCTCCAGCCTGAACTTTGCACAGACAAGCATGGCGCGAGACGCCGAGCAGACGTTTCGCCTGGACAGTCCTCAGACTCAGTGTCAGCTTGACCCCTTCCAGGTGCGTACAGTCATGCACAAGGCGACAACCTCCATGGTTGCCTCCTATCGCATTCGTCGTCGGCCATCGTGATGCGTTCCTCGCGCGGCAGCTGCGGAGACAAGCGTCGCTCAACGCAACATATTATCATGATTCTCGGCATCAACACGCTCACCCCTTTGCAAGGTCGGCGGAAACGACCGGAAGGTCTGTGCAAGACATGTGTTTGCTGTTTGTCGGCCTCGATCCTGGATGATGGAGCCGCGCAACTGCTTGGAAGAAGGAGGAGGACGAGGAGGAAAAAGCGCAGGAGGAGGAAGAGGCGCAGGAGGAGGAGGAGAAGGGAGGAGGGAGGAGGAGGAGGAGGAGGAGGAGGAGGAGGAGGAGGAGAAGGAAGGAAGGAAGAGGAGGAGCAGGAGCATGAGGGCCCAGAACGCGGACAGCTGCCCGCGCTCTGCCCCTGCTAGCGGTGCCCTGGACCTCCGGGTCGCACCGCAGAGGCCCATATAATCCAGAAGCCCTTGTAATGAGGACGAGAGGGGACTGCTTTGAACGCTACAAGGCAAACTTCAAAGCAGTCCCCCGGGACTGCTTTGAACGCTTCCCTCACAAGGCGACATGGGGGGCAGCAGCTGCAGGATGATGATGGTGATGGTGATCGATGAGGAAGATGGCGATGACGTCAATGATGATTTGCCAACATGTCTCGACGAAGCGCTGTCCGCAACTGCGGCCACAAACCTTCTGCTGCACTTGCCCGCAACTGCGGCCATTACCAACGTGTCGCTTCGTAGGTCAAGGGAACGCGGTCGTTCCACGGCCCCGCGTGGCCCGCGTTCTGCGTCTGGTCGGGCATGCCCGCCCACATGCGATTAGGAGGCGAACCCTCCGTGGCATTGTCCGCAACTGCGGCGCGATTATCATCCCACCACTTCCGCTCATCAGCGCGCCACCCCGCCCAGCTCGACCACTCATCAAGGCGCCATCCCGCCCTCCACTCCCGCCCTTTCTCGCGCCATCCCTTCGCGGGATCCCCCGCCCCCCGCGCGCCGCTCCCGCTGGCGCCAGAGGACCCAGCCGCAACTGCGGCATAAGAGGGGGTCGCAGCCTGCGGCCACTGCGGTGTCGAAGGTCGCTCAGCCTCAGCGGCCCCCCCCGCAACTGCGGTTCCCCTCTGGGCAGTGTTACTCTGGGCGCCCTTTCCCGCAACGGCGGTGTCCTTGTCGCCGTCGTGTTTGCTGCCCTTCTGGCCGCCCTTGCAAGCGCCTTTCTCTTGCTTCCGCTTCTTTTCCTTTTCATTCCTCTAAGCAAGCTTCTCTGGTGATCTGCGACCCGCGTCGCGGGTGAAAGCCACCAGGGGGAAGTGCGCCCCGTTTCGCGCCTTGCCGACGGAGCCGTTCCAGATCGCGTCGCCCAGCTTGCCCTGCCTGACTCGCCCCGTGCACGGCGCGCCATCTTCTGTTCGAAATCCGCAACTGCGGTCTCGGAGGCGTTAGATGGCATCACGAAGTCGCGAAGCTTGTCTGCGACGGCACCAGCCTTCGGCAAGTAAGTCTGCACCATATTCCCAGGGCCATTCCCGCAATCGAAGGCGCGGAAAAAAAAGCGCCAGGGGAGTTTGTTAGGAAACCGCCAGGGCCGTCGTGCAGGGCGCCCAGGCCATGCCGAAACTCGTATCTCCCAGGGCACCTGATGAACAGAATTGCCATACTGTCTGCCCTGGGCAGGCCGCCTGCTGTCTTCCAGGGGGCCCACGCAGCGACGCCCACCGTGACCCCGCGACTGCGGCGCCAGGACACGAGCTGGAACACGCACGTGTTGAAGCCCCCCATGCAGACTTTGACGTCCCACTGGGTCCCACTTCGCGACGTACTCGGCGAACCGCCCGTAGAATTCCTAGAGTTTCTTCGGGCCCCAGTCTTGGTTGGCCAAATTGTAGTGGACGTGCGCCGCCACGGCGTTGAATGATTTCCCCAAATGGGGCAACGTTTCGCCCAGGGTGATGCGCGCAACCATCGCCCTCGAGTACTTGTTGTGCCATTTTGGCGCAGCCACCTCCGCAACTGCGGATTTCTTCTTCTTCGGCCTCGACTTCCCCTTCTTGTGGAAAGGCCTCGTAAAGTCCACGTGGTCAATTTGGCCGCCACTGCGGTCTCTGAGGCCAATGAGGAGGGCCCCCGAAGGCTCTCCGCCCCTGACGCACAAGTAGTTGCATCGGGGTCGATGCATGAACTTCTCGTCCGCAACTGCGGCTGTGCTCTCGCGTGCGTCGCCCTCCCCAGAGATTACCCTGCAGCAATCGTCGTCGCACTCGCAAAGGGCGATGATTTGGGCAGGATTGGCGTGGATCTGCGCGAACTCGTCTCTGCGTCGTGCGGGCCCCCCTGCGCTCTGTCCGAAGTTGGCCACGTAGAAGCC